TACTCCAGTCCTCTGAAGATGCTGGCTACAGAGACTGGCGAAACGTCAGGAAGAACAACCTTCAGAACATGGCCAAAGAGCCTGAAAAATCCACAACAACCATCAGATCCCGGGCGTGAAAGCTTTCGCAAATACAAATACCAAGTGATTTAATACTTTTATTTCTTCCAGTGGTATTTATGGGTAGCCAGAAATACCCAGATGAAAATGGATTTGATACATTCCTAAAGAAGCATGGGGGCTCAGACAATGCTTCAACAGATACGGAGCGAACTGTCTTCCAGTTTGATATCCAGAAGAAGTATTTTAAAGAAGCACTTGACAGGTAATTCAGCAGCAGAAAAACAGGTAATTGGTTTGGGCTGGAAAATAATGTCAATAATTATTGAGAGACCTCTTTTGTACTGTTATTAAGCACGGATGAATCTGTCATTTCCCTTTTCACACAGTTTTTGAGAAGCTCAAATTCTTACCATTTTCTTTATGAAATTTGTAAATTTTGGGCAGTTCTTTCATCTATCTGTTTAGAATGCAGTAGGTGCAAATCTTCTCAGCAGGGAAAGAGCTCTGTTGTATTGTCAGCCCTGCGTCTCTTAAAAGGTAAGGAACCTGCCAGAAACAAAGCAGTGACAATCCTAACACAGCACCTTAAACACAGGGTTCAATACTGGCTTCATGGGCTAAGTGCTAAGTCAGGGTAGGATCCCAGCATGCTTAAAGGAAGCAATAGTAAATGGGTCCAGAACACTACAGACAGATTGTTAACTGGAGCTGGTTATAGGAATCCCATCACCCCACAGTTCCAGCAACTCCACTGGCTGCTGATCCAGTTTTGGGCACAGTTCAAAGTGCTAGATTTAACCTATAAAGCCCTAAATGGCTCAAGTTCCAGCTATTTCAACAATCACATCTCCCTCTATGAACCTGCCCAGGAGTTAAGATAATTAGATGAAGCCTTTCTCTTGGTCTCACCACCTTCACAGGTGTGTTTGGTGGGGGCACAGGTGAGAGACTCCTTTGAGGCTCCTCCCAAACTCTAGAACTCCATCCATGGAAGGCCAGACTGGCCTTGTCTTTGCTGTCCTTCCATAAGCAAAGACCTTTATCTTCAGACAAGTTTTTCTTTAGTGAATGGCTGTCTGAGAGGGGTTTTTAAATCGAGTGTTATGCCTTATTGTTTTGAATCTATTTTTGGTGTTTTTTTTGTTTACCGTTTTTAGTGTGATATTTGTCTGATTGTTTTTTTCCTCTTCTATATGATTGCAAATGATGTCTCTCATCAATCTTTTTGCTTTTCTATCTCTATATTTGAAAATATGCGACAAAAGTTCACTACTGGCTTCAAGAACACACATAGCACCGTACAATTTATTCTTAGTTCTGCTATATGGCATGGAATATAGGCTTTTAACACAAGTTGCTAGTTTAAAAATGGAAGCATTTGGAGTGCAGATTCATCTCAGGATGCTAAAAATTTCTGGGATCAAGAGATTGACCAGTGAAGAAGGACTAAACTAAAAGAGTAAGGAATTCAGAAAGATACAATGACTGAAATCCGGTAGAAAGTTGCATTTATTTATTTATAGATCATCCTACTTCACAGGATCTCAGGGCATGTTACAAAACTGTTTAAAACATTTTTAAATATAAGATAATTAAAACAATTTAAAATAAAACAGTGTAAAATTAGAAAATTCAAATTAAAGGAGGACCATTGAATCAATGAAACTTACAGAGGAGTTCCCTCACCTAGCATAGGCATCCTTCAGTCTCGAAAGACTATGGTAACATGCTCTGAATTGAGGAGTGTCCCCTCCAGAGCATGAAGCCTGAGTAAAGTAATATGGAGGATAGGCTGTTACCCAAGCAGCAGATCCCCCCTCTCACCTAATCTCCATTGATTCCATGGGCTTACTCTAGTTATGTTTTGCTACTGGATTTCAGCCATTATTTTGCTCATGTAAGGAAAGAAAATACAGATTGTCAGAGTTGATCACTGATGGTAAAATAAATAGGAAAAGACGCTTAGAAATAAGAGAAACATACTGGTTGCAAAACCTCAGAGACTCGTTTGGATGCAATACAACAGGACAGTTTAGAGTTGCTACCTTCAAAGTCAAGCTAAACACAATGATGTCCAATCTCTTATAAGAAAGGAACAAGAAAAATAATCCTATGTGAAAGTTGGCAGTCAATATTTGTCCCTGCTCCTTAGGCAGCTATTGGTTAGCACAATGTAATTAAAGAAAAGTGGAGACAAAAAGAAGAGATCTCCAAAATACACTGTGGTTGAGTTTATTATTACATTAGAAATAGGCAAACATCCCGACGCATCTGCCTATAACCCATAAAAGGGATTTGTCAAAAGCATTGTGGATAGAAAGGCTATTGTTGCCTAATTTAGAACTGATCAAACCACAAGGGCCACCAGAAATGTATTAAAATGGTGCTGAATATATCTCGGTTCACTGTTCCTTGCTTATGCTTATCTTTCATTTTTTAAAAAAAATTCATGGTTTTCTTTATACACGTACTTTTGAAAATACAACACAATTTTTCTGCTTTTTCAATATTGACTGGGAAATGTCTGATGTTTTAAATTGTTCTACTTATTTTGTAGATGGGCTCAGTTCTTCATTCACCCCTTGATGATTAAGGATGCAATTAACCGTGAAGTTGAAGCTGTGGATAGTGGTAAAACCAATGGATTTGATCTTAAGTTTCTTTTAATTGTTATTTTCATACTCTGGAGGGAAACAATCCCAACTAGCCTTTGTAGCACTCTTACTGTGAAATTTGGATGACCTGCCTTTTATATAACAGTGTTATAAAAGTAATATGTAGATACCATGGCCACAATCCAAAGAGTTAAGCATACTTAAGCCCTTTGAAATCAGCAGCCTTAAGTATGTTTAACTTTGTGCTGGACTGTTGTCAATAAATTTTGGGAGTGTAATTTTATCAGCTCTCAGAGCATACCAAACTAGTTAATTAACTGTAGGGCTGAATTTCTAAGACTATCTGTAGGAAATTAATCCTGTTGAATTCAGTGGGATTTCATGCTCTGAGAAAGTGCTTAGAATTGATCCATAACTCATTATAAAATGTACAGATGTGTTCGTTCTGTGATGTGGACTTGATGTATTAATCATGAAGATGACATGAGTGACAGGCTATGGTGAAAAAAGCATCGTTTGTACACTATAATGAATACATGCTTCACAAAGTACAAAAGTTATATTTCTAATTAAACAACAAAACCCCTAGCCTTCCAGTATTCCCAAATTCAGGTTTGTTTGTTTTTCCTTAATCTTAATCTGGGGCTATATCTTCAACTGGTTGGTTCTTGGCAAAGTGCCATCTCTTAATCCCCATTCCTAAACCATAGTGCTGGAATAATGGTGACATGTCTCATTGGCTAAAGCTTGGCTAAGAAATCTGTGGCCCTCCAGATCCTGGTGAACTCCAGTTCCCGTGGGTGTCAACCCCCCTTGTGCATGAATGGGAGATAACAAAGGCAGTAGTTCATCAGCATCTCAAGGGTCATAATTTACATAGCCCTGGGTTAAGAATTTTAGAACTACAATCCTATATAAAAAGGTAAAGGTTCCCCTTGACATTTTTAGTCCAGTCGTGTCCGACTCTAGGAGGCGGTGCTCATCCTGTTTTTCAAGCCGTAGAGCCAGCACTTGTCCGAAGACAGTTTCCATTGTCACATGGCCAGCATGACTAGGGAACGCCGTTTTACCTTCCCACCAAGGTGGTACCTATTTATCTACTCGCATTTACATGCTTTCGAACTGCTAGGTTGGCGAGGAGCTGGGACAAAGCGACAGGCGCTCACTCCATTGCGTGGATTTGATCTTACGACTGCTGGTCTTCTGACCCTGCAGTACAGGCTTCTGTGGTTTAGCCCGCAGCGCCATCTCGTCCCTTTTACAATCCTATATACATTTACTTAAAAGGGACTTCCATTGAAACATTGGGAATTGCTTCAAAATAAACATGCATAACACTGTGATATAAAATATAGGTTAGAATAACAACTCACCCCAGTCCTCTGCAATGGGGATTGGCAACTTTGGGAGGTGAAGAAGCCAGTTTTTTACCCTGAGATCTTCTGAGTTCTAACAGACTAACAATAAATATGAGGAAAAAAGTGGAGAAACCAGAAGTTGACTATTTACTTGGGAACTAAAAGTGACCTATATTGACCTGGAGGCTTTGATAAACCATGGACCATGAGCCATGGAATACCATGGGTGTTTGTGATCATGTAGACAAAAATACATTACTTCTCATTTCTACAGTACCAATCACAAACTAAGGAAGTTCCTTTTTTTACTACAATTCCCAGAATCCACTACCTAGCATTCCACTGGTTGGTGGAAATTGCATTGCATACAATGAAGTTTGTGTGAACTTCATACAGAACAATCATAGTTTCCAAGGACATTGTTCTTTTCCTTTACCACATCCATCCCATGACACTGTGCTGACAAGGAGTATGAAGGTGGAAGAGGTAATTTTCTTGAATACATCTAGTTCCACTTCAAGTGTTATGCTGCCATATGCTGTTGATGAACAGCCTGAGACACTGGAGTTATCTCCTCCTGGAGCATCAGGAATACCCTCGTGCAGCCCTTCAGAACAAGAAGAAAACAACATTATTTTTCTCTGTTGTTCTAATTTTAGCACCAGAGCTTCTAATAATTTTTTTTACTGCATCTCCCAGAATCCCCCAGAACCAACACTATGATGGCTGGGTAAATTATGGGAGCTGTAGTCTCAAAAAGTAATTTGGTTTCAATGTCAAAGAAGGTAGGATATTTCTCTCTCTGCTGTTCCATGTATTATATTGTGTTCCTTGTCTAAATGATCTTTTCATAGAAATGGTACTCCTAAATTGTACTGCCTAATGTGTTCTTTAAAATAAACAGAATATCAAATAGCAAGGCCTTCTGATGCTAACAGAAGGGAATTGCTGCTTGGAAGCCTTGCAAAGCCAGGACATCCTATGAGAAAATTCTTTTGGGGTAAGTATAATATTCCAAGATTCCAATTGATATGCTGGTGATACAGATTTAGTAGAGTTTGAAGAACTGGTGTTTATTGAGGTAATGCATTTAGTAACTGAGAATATCTGGAACTTGCAAAGATTCTTAATTCTGGGTATTTCCACTTCTACAAAATACATTGTATTTCAGATTTTTCACATCTGCCTTACTCAGGATGTGGCCCAGCATGACCTTACATTGAAAGTCATGGTTAAAAAGTAGCAGATGAGGTGGTAAACCTGGAAAATCCCTCTTCACACTACTTTGAAGGGATCAAATGGATGGTCATTTCCTAATGCCAAAATATAATGTTTTATGTACCAATAGTCTAACATTATATAAGGCAGTTTCCTATGTTCCCATGACCTCACCTCTGGAAGCATCCATAAGTGGTCTGTCTTGGTCAGACTAATTTACTGAGATGAAGTCCCCTTTGAATACTATATAATAGAAATGTAGGAAATGGGATAACCAGTGTGGTGTGATGGATAGAGTGACAGACTAGAACTCGGAAGGCATGGGAGTTTCACACATAAGGGGTGTGAAACTGGCAAAGTCACCCCTTTAATATCTTACTTACCTTGAAAGTCCTGTTCAGAGTGCACAATAACAACAGAAAATATGAAGCTTTGTTACAGGTTTATTACTGAACCGTATGGTTTGTTTGTTTTAAAATCACTACATGCATTAAAAATAAGCACAAACTTCCTAATTAATTTTATAGGCAATGCAGAGACACTTAAACATATGCCGAAGAAGAACAAAATTGACACCTATGCAAGACTGAGGGACTTCTGGAAACGTCACTATTCTGCTCACTACATGAATCTTGTTGTTCAGTCAAGAGGTACTATAAAAATAAGTTCCCGCTTTGCTGAAATGCAAGTAATTACTGTATCAACATGACATATGTATGTCACTGTCTGGATAGCTCAGTGATTTAGGTACCTGGCTGCGGAGCCATAGGTTGGGAGTTTGATTCCCCATTCTGCCACTTGTGAGTAGAGCCAACCTGTGTAATCTTGGACAAGCTGCCCGGTCCAAGAACAACCTGAGCAGAAGGAAATGATAAGCCACTTCTGAGTGTTCTCTACCTGTAAAACTCTGAAAAAGGTTCACCATAAGTCAGAACTGAAAGCACATGATTATTAATATTAAATATATGTCGTGCCATATTTTTAAAGAACTCTGTTGTTGTTGTTACAAATGAAAGTTGACGTGGGAACTAATATGGCAAGCAGTGTGTTGTTATCATGTACCATCAAGTGTTTTCCAATGAATTAGGTAAAGGTAAAGGTAAAGGTTCCTCTTGACAATTTTTTCTCCAGTCGTGTTCGACTCTAGGGGGCGGTGCTCATCCCCGTTTCCAAGCCATAGAGCCAGCGTTTTTGTCCGAAGACAATCTTCCGTGGTCACATGGCCAGTGCGACTTAGACATGGAACGCTGTTACCTTCCCACCGAGGTGGTCCCTGTTTATCTACTCGCATTTGCATGCTTTCAAACTGCTAGGTTGGTGGCGCTCACTCCATCACGTGGATTTGACCTTACAGCTGAAGATCTACAGCCCTTACAGCACAGAGGCTTCTGCAGTTTAACCCGCAGCACCACCACATCCCATTTCCAATGAATTAGGGACCTCCAAAGGGTTCTATCAGTAACAGCCCTGTTCAGGTCTTGCTAACTGAAGACTATGGGGAAATTAGCAAAGCAATACCTAAAGGATCTCCTGCATCGTTTGTTTGCAAAGGCGCTCCCGGTTTCACTGCCGTCTTTAGGTTTGTACAAGAGCTGGCACTGAGAGCAAACATTATGGGACTATTTTCTACAAGCAAAATTGTGTGAAAACTTGATGCTGCAGTCAGGGGTTCACAAAGTATGCAGGTTTGAGCTTAGAATAGTCATGTAGGGGTCTCTTTATTGCGTTTTCACGGCATTGTTGCTGCTTATAATCAAGCCTTAGATAGAATTACAAACCCACTTTAAATTGTGTGTATTCTCATGTTTGTGATTCTATTGAGCCAGAATATATATTGGCATTGCAGTCCTACTCTGTGAAATATAAACGCCCTATACATGCATGAAATTAGGACAGGAGAGGGAGCCCTTAAAGAGATTAGCTTTATCCTTACACAGTTAGAACTGTTTATATTGTATAGAGAAAAAGGAAGTCCAGATAGTCTACAATATAATGCCTACATATAAGATGTAGTGTGTTACTCCCAATCTTTTCTGCACTTCCTCTCGGAGTTTCCTTCCCCCCCCCCGCAGCCTGGAAATAAAGAGGCAACACACAGGTTGTTGGGTTAAAACTTGGGCCACAACTTTATTAACTATTTAAGCTAATCCCCCAAGTACAAGGGGGCCTGAACGTAGTGCGATATCCTCCACAATCCGGAGTAGCCTAGACCTCCGGGCCATTCATAGAGCAGTGTCACGCTTTGCAGGGTGCATATTGCGCCCGCAGTGGGTGTGTCACACGTGGGGGTGTCACGCCTGAGGTGGGCGTGTCACACTCATGCAGGGGGCATGTCGTGCTCGCAGTGGGTGTGTCCCACTCACACAGGGGGAGATCTGCAGCCCCTATAAAGTTTGGGGACCGCTGCTTTACAACAAGAAAGTAAGCTGAGTAGTGCTGCTGAAGAATAACCCAAATCCTTGCTGAGAAAATTAGCCTGGTGCATGGAGCACCAATTAAACCTGTCGCCTTATCCATTACCTATTGCTTAATTACGAATCTAATCTTTAAACAAAATTCCAATGCCCCTTCCTTTCTTCTCTCTCTCTCTCTTTCTCTCTTTATTAATAGTTAATGAGACCACAAAAGGGTCTCATTAAAACAGTACAACAGCCAAAATGCTCCCCTTAAATGCTAATCCCCACTACAATCACCGTCCATTCCCAACACGTAAGAACAAAGGAGAGGGGGGGAGGGGTGTGATCTAACCTCTTCACCCCTTGCAAAGCCCAATGTATTAATAAAAAAGTAGTAAATTAACTTAAACTTCTAAATGAAGTAAAGAGGGGTGGGGGTGCCATCTTCAACCTCCCCCCCCTTAAGGAACAAACTCTACTGTTAAACAAGAAACAACAACTATTAAAATAAACTGATAAAATAGAAGCAGCTGGGAAGCGCTGGAGCGCAGCTCAAATCCTCGATGGGAGAAGCAGCCTGGTGCAGGGAAAATGAAGCTGCTTCCTCTCTTGGCTCCAGGGCTTGCCTTTCTGCTTGAAAAAATGACAAAGAAGCTGAGCTGGAGGGACCACGCCTGCCTAAATGCTCCATTCCTCCTCCCCTTGGAAAGCAGCATCATTCAACTGTGACACCACTCTCCGGGCGTGAAGTAAAGAGGGGTGGGGGTGCCATCTTCAACCTCCCCCCCCCTTAAGGAACAAACTCTACTGTTAAACAAGAAACAACAACTATTAAAATAAACTGATAAAATAGAAGCAGCTGGGAAGCGCTGGAGCGCAGCTCAAATCCTCGATGGGAGAAGCAGCCTGGTGCAGGGAAAATGAAGCTGCTTCCTCTCTTGGCTCCAGGGCTTGCCTTTCTGCTTGAAAAAATGACAAAGAAGCTGAGCTGGAGGGACCACGCCTGCCTAAATGCTCCATTCCTCCTCCCCTTGGAAAGCAGCATCATTCGACTGTGACACCACTCTCTGGGCAGGGGAGCAAAGCCTCCCTGCCACAGTGACTAGCACCATGGCGGAGCGATCATACATGAAGTTCCAAGACCATAGAATGTGCCTTGTCCACCTTCTCCCCCTCCTTTGTAACAACCTCTAAGTCATTCAAATGAGGTTCACGGGAATGTGCATAGTATTATACCACCATACTCGTAAAATACATTAAATGTTCAGTGTTTGAACATCTCCACAAAGCATGAATTTCTTCTTTCATTGTATTATTAAGTAATTTACTAGTCACATGCAAATGGCAAATCATAGGTTGCTAATGTCTATGAGGTGCCATCAATTAGTTCTTAGTAGATCTTGGAGCAAAGCCTCCCTGCCACAGTGACTAGCACCATGGCGGAGCGATCATACATGAAGTTCCAAGACCATAGAGTGTGCCTTGTCCACCTTCTCTGCCTCCTTTGTAACAACCCCTAAATCATTCAAATGAGGTTCATGGGAATGTGCATAGTATTATACCACCATACTGGTAAAATACGTTAAATGTTCAGTGTTTGAACATCTCCACAAAGCATGTATTTCTGCTTTCATTGTAATATTAATTAAGCAACTGACTAGTCACATACAAATGGCAAATCATAGGTTGCTAATACCTATGAGGTGCCATCAATTATTTCTTAGTAGATCTTGGGAAATGAACATTTCAAACGCTGGCTCTACGGCTTGAAAAACGGGATGAGCACCAGACATGACTGGACTAAAAATGTCAAGGGGTACCTTACAGATCTTGGGAAATGAACATTTATAAACTGTAGTTCCCAGCAACTCCCATCCAGCTTGATTATGTTCAGTATTCTTACGTTAATGTTGCCCTTAGAATAATGAATGGCTTTCTCATTTTCTTTCTTTTCTATTTTCTCTTCCCAATTTTTCCTTATTAGAGACCTTGGATACTTTGGAAAAATGGGTGACTGAAATCTTCTCACACATCCCAAATAAGTAAGACGATTTATTCTTAAACTGAAGTTAGTTTGTGTATGAAACTGGAGTTAGTTTGTAAAAATCCCACATATATGTTCCATGAGAAATATGAACAAGAAAGGAAGTACTCAGAAAGTCAATGCATGCCAAATGTGTGGCTGTAAGAGAAGGTTCACATATCATTTTGGCTCTGTGATGACCAGGAAGAAATATTGTAAACAAAATAAGAAATTGTCCTGTCCTCTTCACTGTTGGCTGCCACTTTTCCTGTTTTGTTTTGTGGAGTTTTGCATAGCCAGGAAATAAAATGTAAGGAAAGGAAGGTGAACTGAAGACCTTCAAGATGTAGCTAATGAAAACAAGTGTTAGGCTTTCTTGTACATAAAAATAAAAGAGCATTTGGAATTTCTGTTATCTGGACCTCAACTGGTCACTGTCTTGGTGTTTCACTTGTCCTTCATTGACTGTCAATGGACAGAATTCAATTGGTGATGACCACCCAGATAAGAGATATGCCATAAGTTTTACTTACTTGCTTGCTCACGTTATTGTTGATTTAATCGCTTTGGTCTTTCTACCACTTCTAGCATTACAAATGTGGCATTAGTCATAGTGACAAATTGCTTCAGATTAATGAAGTCTAGTTGTGTTCCTGGACGTTTGCTCAATCACACAATAAATTAGAAGCAATTTGCTGCCAGCACCCCTATGATTTACACTGTTTCAATTATACAAGTTGAAATTGTTAATTGGATTCTGCTCAGTGTTATATTTCCTTATTTTAAAATGTTCATTGATTTTTTCCCCCATACAAACAACACAAAAGCAAGGAACAGCTTTTTTAATAGCATCATATACTGTGTATTAGAAAGAAAGATCCATTTAACATACTTCTGTATAACATAACATTTCAAGAGCCTGAAATGGTAGCATACAACAAGTTTGCACCTGCATCATCAGTGAAGAGGCTAACTGGACTCCATTTAGAAGAAATCAGGTAATTGTGCAGCAACAAAGAAGCTGTACTGTACTGAAAAAATGGCAACACACAGAGCAAAACTTCTCGAAATAAAACTCAATACAGCAGACAGATTAAGAAACAAGGACACAGTCTTTAGTAATTCAGCTCCATATCATTAACTAAAATAATACAAACATTCAACAAATACAATAATTAGTAGGATAAATTTAAAAAGATGGCTATAAAGATGGTAGAAAGGATGATGAAAGGATGGCAAAAAGGATGATAAAAGGAAAGCAGAGAATTCAGCAAGTTAATGCTCAAGGAAAGCCTGACGGAAAAGCCAAGTTTTCAATGCTTGTTTAAACCCGTCCAATGAGGGTGCCAGGTGTATCCCCACTAGCAGATCGTTCCACAGGTGGGGGGGGGGATGCCAAGAAGGCCCAGCTTCTTGTTCTTTCCCTCCAGACCTCCTTTGGGGTCAAGGCCCTCAACTGCCCTGCCTGTGAAGAAGGGGTATTACGGACAGATCTGACTGGGAGCAGGCATTCTGCTAGATACCGAGGTCCTAAACCATTTAGGAATGTTATCATCATAACCTTGACGTCAGTGCCATTAGTCATAGTGACAAATTGCTTCAGATTAATGAAGTCTAGTTGTGTTCCTGGACGTTTGCTCAATCACACAATAAATTAGAAGCAATTTGCTGCCAGCACCCCTATGATTTACACTGTTTCAATTATACAAGTTGAAATTGTTAATTGGATTCTGCTCAGTGTTATATTTCCTTATTTTAAAATGTTCATTGATTTTTTCCCCCATACAAACAACACAAAAGCAAGGAACAGCTTTTTTAATAGCATCATATACTGTGTATTAGAAAGAAAGATCCATTTAACATACTTCTGTATAACATAACATTTCAAGAGCCTGAAATGGTAGCAAACAACAAATCACGTTTGCACCTGCATCATCAGTGAAGAGGCTAACTGGACTCCATTTAGAAGAAGTCCGGCTCATTGTGCAGCAACAAAGAAGCTGTACTGTAGTGAACAAATGGCAACACACAGAGCAAAAATTCTCATTGTTTCGTTTAGTCGTTTAGTCATGTCCAACTCTTCGTGACCCCATGGACCAGAGCACGCCAGGCCCTCCTGTCTTCCACTGCCTCCCGGAGTTCTGTCAATTTCATGTTGGTTGCTTTGCAGACACTGTCCAGCCATCTCATCCTCGGTCGTCCCCTTCTCCTCTTGCCATCACACTTTCCTAACATCAAGGTCTTTTCCAAGGAGTCTTCTCTTCTCATCAGATAGCCAAATAAAACTCAATACAGCGGACAGATTAAGAAACAAGGACACAGTCTTTAGTAATTCAGCTCCATATCATTAACTAAAATAATACAAACATTCAACAGATACAATAATTAGTAGGATAAATTTTAAAAGATGGTTATAAAGATGGTAGAAAGGATGATGAAAGGATGGCAAAAAGGATGATAAAAGGAAAGTAGAGATTTCAGCAAGTTAATGCTCAAGGAAAGCCCAACGGAAAATCCTCATTCTTTGTGGGAAGAGTCACTCCTCTAAAGGAAAAAGAGTTTCCCAACCCACTGATGCCAGGGCTGCCCATGCGCAAGATTTTCATCTTGTCCAGATTCAGCCTTAGTCCATTTGCCTTGTGTGGGGCAACCGCTGAGAAGGCCCAGCTTCTTGTTCTTTCCCTCCAGCCCTCCTTCGGGGGCAAGGCCCTCAACTGCCCTGCCTGTGAAGAAAGGGTATTACAGACAGATCTGACTGGGAGCAGGTATTCTGCTAGATACCGAGGTCCTAAACCATTTAGGAATGTTATCATCATAACCTTGAAGTCAGTGCTGAAACGAATGGGTAACCAATGAAGGGAGGCCAGAATGGGGGAGATGTGCTGAAATTTTTTCACCCCAGTTATTAATCTGGCTGCCGAATTCTCCACATCAACCTCAAGCGTAGCCCCATGTAGGGAGCACTGCAATAGTCTATTCTTGAGATTACGAGTGCATGAATCAAAGTTGTGAGTCTAGATAGGGACGCAGCTAGGCAATCCTAGCTTCCAGGACCACAGATGGTCACCTGAGCTTCCATGGTGAGATCCGGGTCCAGGCAGATGCCCAAGCTGCAAACCTCATTCTTTGTGGGAAGAGTCACTCCTCCAAAGGAAAGAGAGTTTCCCAACCCACTGATGCCAGGGCTGCCCATGCGCAAGATTTTCATCTTGTCCAGATTCAACCTTAGTCCATTTGCCTTCTTCCACCCCAGAATGGTCCCCAAGCAGCACTCAAGGGACAGAACAGCATCCACTGCAGTTGGAGAAAAGGAGAGATATTGCTGGATGTCATCAGCCTACTGATGACACTGAGCTCCACAATTCCAGATGACCTCACCCAACAACTTCATATAGATATTAAATAACATTGTGCATAATAATGTATGTATCCAGACTTAGTCAAAGTAGGTACATAAAAGCCAAAGGGACAAGTTAGTTACTCTGTGACAATGCTTTGAATATGACTTAGCCTTGATCCAAAAAGATTTCAAACTATAACCTCTGAATGCCGTACTAGTGTGTGTGCTTTTATTTTTAAGTGGATTACCCAGACCAACTTTTAGCCATCTGAAGGAGCCATTTGACACACCTGAATTCCACAAACTTTACAAAGGTAAGGTAATTGGAATCTGGCTTCCTTTTTGTACTGTTGGTGTATATGAATGACAATAGCAGCCTTTCTTCTTTTTGCTTGCATAGTATAATAGATAAGAGGGAGAGATTTGAGTAAAACGTTCTCACCTAAGGAATATGATCATTTTTTCTACTTTGGCAATCCACTATTTCTCAATTCCAGCCTTCTGTGTCAATAATATGGATCCTTTCTACCATGTTTCTGAAAATGACTAATTCAGATAGATAGATTTTATCCATCCATTCATCCATCCGTCCGTCCATCCATCCATCCATCTATCCATCCATCCATCTATCCATCTGCCCATCTATCCATCCATCCATCCGTCTGTCCATCCGTCCGTCCGTCCATCCGTTCATCCATCCATCCATCCATCCATCCCCCCCACTGCGCTGGACAACAGATAGATAGATCCAGTTTGCAGCACACAGAGAAAGTGGTCCATAAACAATATGACCATGATTTTTTGAAATAGTTGGTGCAGCAGGACTGCTGCAGTTGTTTGCTGCAACATCTTATACCATTTCAAATCATTATATGTGCATTTTCTGCCCTTGCCACCTCTTCTTCATAGAAACATGAAGTTGGAAGGGACCTATAAGGCCATTGAGTCCAACCCCCAGCTTAATAGAGGAATATGAATCAAAGGATATATATTCTCACAGTCCATCTATTCACAATTCATATCTGTTTTCACAATCCATCCTTCTGAATCTTTGATGTTGTTGACTCATTTGTCATGCTTCAGTTATTCCAGTGAAAGAAATTCATTCACTGAGCATCTCCTGGGCTCTTCCCCCACAAGAAAAGAATTATAGGTAAGGAATGACATTCTGACATACTTTCCTTTATATGTGAGCAGAAGATTAGATTCTCTCTACCTTGTCTTGAATCCCCTAACCTTATGACTTGCTAGGCAAGAGAAACAGGACCCGAGAACTCTGAATTCTGGTGCTCCATTGGGAAGGGACAACCCCCAGAACATCTTAAATTTATTGAAGCTAAATTACTGATGGGTTAATCAACTTAGAATCAGATGATTAATCAGCTAGCATTAAATGCCAGAACAACTAAAACCTGCTCTGGAAAGTGGCTGCTATCAATATTATGAGAAACTGAGGAGGCCTATACAGTACCCATAAGCAAACAGTCCTGCTGGATTTTTGTGAACAGACTTGTACCAAAAGGCATCATAGGAGTGGTGGTTGCCTCATTCTCTTTGTTGTGTTCCTGCAATAATATACACAGGCAAGTCTTTTGGAGATGTCACATTGGGAGCAGAAGAAATACTTCCTCTTTTTAAAAAATTGGTGTTTTTTCCTTTGCTTTTATAATTTGATATTTAATATTCCTTCCTCCCCCCTACCACCATGTTTTTAGGGTTAAGCCTCTTCATTACATCTCCTGGCTGGTAGGACATGAAGGCAAAGGCAGTGTGCTCTCCCTTCTCAGAAAAAAGTAAAGTTCTTTTTTTCCTGTATTGCATTAAAGTATGCAGTTGCTTTTGGATGATTAAGTATAGGTTTAAATATCGAAACACCATATCTAATACAGTGGTGCCTCGCTTAACGATTGCCTCGTTTAGCGATGTTTTCGCTTAACGATGGTTTTTAAAGAATTCTATGCATCATTTAACGATGTTTCCTATGGGCGATTTTCACGTAGTGATTTCGGGACCATGCTTCACATAGCGAATGCATTTTTAGGTCCCCTGTTTCGCTTAATGATGTGTGTTTTTTCAATTTTAAACGTGTCTTAAAATGTTCAAAAATGTTTTAAATTTTTGGAATCGTTAGTGCACCTTCTAAAACGTGTGCAAACTTAAATTGGCTTTGATCTGACTTTTCATTAATTTTTGGTGAATTTTTTTCTCCCCCATAGGAAAGCATGGAGCTGTCAAATTTTGACAGCTGTCAAAAGTTGGTGGGGGGAAAATTCTGCAAAAATTAACGAAAAGTCAGATCAAAGCCAAATTAAGTTTGCACCCGTTTTAGAAGGTGCACTAACAATTCCAAGCATTTAAAACAGTTTTTGAACCTTTTAAGACACACTTAAATTTGCAAAAATGGACATCGCAAAACCATTCAAATGCATTGAATAGGCTTCAATGCATTCCAATGGACGAAACATTGTATCGCTTCACGATGTTTCCTATGGGGTTTTTCGCTTAAGGACGGCAATCCGTGCCTATTGGAACGGATTAATCGGTTTTCAATGCATCTCTATGGGAAAACGCATTTCGCTTAACGATGTTTTCCCATAGCGATGTGTGTTTTTTTAACCAATTAACATCGTTAAGTGAGGCACCACTGTATTGAGCTGCAATGAAATGTGGTGCTGTGGTGCTGGAGAGTATCCACTGGGAATCAAAAGCAAGGTGAAAAAATGTGAAGAAACCTATTAGTTTTATTAGTTTTGTTACAAACCAAACCCAACATATTTCAGCTCAGCTTTGGGGTCTTTTCCCAGATATGATTTCATATGTCTGTTTTAGGAAATCTTTATCTCCAAACCCTGGGATTCTGCATTTTCTGCCCTGTAGACTGAGCAGGACCTACATAGATCCCCCAACCAAACAAAACTGCAAAATGGAAGTGGCCAAATGTCAACTTCCAGTTGTGTGTGGATTTAGTTTGGAGTGAAATGCATATATTTTTCCCAGTATTTTGAGGTGTGCTTTCATTTCATTTTGGATCCCTGATACTTAGCCTAACAATATTTACCTTGCTCAAGCCAAATAATTTAGTCTCCAATGTACTGAGCAGTCAACATTTTGAGGAGCATTAATTATTTATATTGGGGCTGGTCAGGGCCAGAGATATTTTTCTTAAATACTCTTTTAAAAGGTCTTATTATTAACAATTCATTGACCAAACCATTAATTGTAAAGACTATTGTATATTGCCAAATCTTGGTGTAAGCACCTTTTGTAATAATAAATAAATTTTGTAGAATATTGTAGGACATGTAACATCACTATTTTTTGAAGAGTATCCTCCTTTTAGAATGGCAAGATGACCTTAATTTTCTTTATTCGCTATTATACTACAGCCAAAACAGATTAAAATAGAATGCTTTTGATTCCTTTAATGAAATGTGCTTTTATATTGCAATAGGTTTTGGGCTATTGCATTATATGGTGGAAATGGTGAAACAGGATTTGAACAAAATTCCATCTATTCTATCTTCAGCATTTCTGTGACATTAACAGATGAAGGTTTGGAGCATTTCTATGAGGTAAATTCCCCTTTTTGTTAGCCTTTATCTTCATGCATTTCGAAACATACAATACTGCAATGAGTCTGTACCTGCATACAAAAGGACAATTAAAGAATAAAGGGCAAAGAAAGAGATAACATGGCAAATTGGTTTTTCACACATTGACTTACATAATTTGTAACTTTATAACCAAACAAGCAGTAGCTCTGTACTTTGATGCTATGTATAAATATATAAAAGTTTGCCATGTTATCTCACTCTTGTCTGAGGAAGTGAATTTTATCCACAAAAGTTCACATTAAGACATAACAATCTTTAATGGGTCACAACATTTTCGAATTTGTTCTTTAATGTTTTTAATTTTTCTTCTGCTTTTGCCTGATACACTTGCACAGACTAACATGGCTGCCTCTTCTAAAACTGTATACAAGAGATGGATTTATTTCTTAATATTGCTCACAGTACTCTTAATACAAATCCAGATATCAAAGAATCAAATTCAGGTGTATTCGTGAATCATTCATTGCCTATTGTACAATGTCTGTGGCACCTACCATTTCACATTACGCCATGCACACAACTTTTCCCAAAATTCCTTTTTGTTTAAATGTTTAATTGTGACTACGAAACAAGGGGAAACAAGTAGAGAAGAGCAAAAGTATCAGAGCAAAATCAAACCCTTGAATTTTCTTCATAATGAAGCTATAAGGGAGTGTATCTAATACAGTACTATACAGTTATAGCAGTTTGTTACCGCCTGTAATTGTCATGCTCCATCCTACAAAATATAGAGTGTGATATTTTATTTCTTCATTCATATCAGAGCATTGCATAATTCAAAATTATGGACACACATGAAATATATATGCAAAATCAAAAACCAATGTAAAGACAATCAAGTGATTTTTGGCCAGAAGTGGTCATAGCCTGAGATTTGTCCAGAAATGTTTCCTTGACTTCAGCCGTCCTCAGGGGGTCAGTGTCCATGGAGTGGGTGGCTTCAATGCTGTTCCAATACAACATTTCTGGTAGTGAAGGATTTGCCAACTGTATGCCATTGCCCAGGGAATACCTAAGTGTATTCACTATGCTTTTCCAGTCTTTGGGGAGTCTCCTTCTATGTCCTCTGTATACTTTGATGATGGACCTAGAATTCTCTTCCAGAGAACATTAATGCTGTAATTCAGCGGAATGACCTAGAGTTTGGTAGCAGAGAATTCAAAGTATCTCACCCAGAATTCTGTAGAATGTGGGGCCATGGGAATTTAAATTATATCAAGCCGCTAGAACTGTATAGGGTAGATATATATATTGTGCAGATATATTGTTATGAAATTCTGGATAGTTCAGTGATTTAGTATCTGGCTGTGGAGCCAGAAGTTGGAAGTTCAATTTCCCACTGTATCTCCTTGATAGAGGCTGGGCTCAACAATGCATAGGATCCCTTCCAGTTCTGGAGTTCTAAGATTATTGTCCATTGATAATATCTGTGCCCTCTCCAGATATTGTTCAAATTCCAATCAACCCAAGCCAGTCTGGTCCCATATTCAAGAATGGCAGGAGCTGTAGCTGAATAACATTCAGAGGGCTGCAGATTTCTGCTGATGTACCAATAGATGTTTTGAAATAAGTTTTACCATAGGCACTTCTTTCACAACTTATAAGAGCCATTCAGTTTTTGACAAGCCAGTTAGCATTTTCCAATCTCTTGTTTGTCACCTTCCTTTATGTATTGCAATTTTAGTTATCTCCTGCAAATTCATCTAGTATAGCATATTTTAGAAGACTGGGATGGCATATCTTAAGAACCTCTCAGAATGCGTCAGTCACCATTTGCCAAAAGTTAGCAGTTCTTGTTTGCGCATGTCCACCACATACAAATTTATTTTGATGGTGAAGTCAAACTTTTCTTTTTAAAACATATGGCTAGTCCTATTTTCTTTAATGCGAAACACAAGGGTTGGAATGTGAATAATAAATTGAAAAATTCTCATTCTCAGCCATTTTCCGGGTCTTGTCACATAGAATTCTTGTGGAGACTTCTCCTGCACCACTGAGATTTCTTGGCTTTCTAAATTGTTTTTTCCACTTACTTTTGTGTTTTTCACCTATATTTTGGTGAAAGAAACCACCAAATTCTGTGCAGTTTCATCCCCTTTCCTGGGAACTCTTGTACAGAAAATGACATCATTTTGTGCAAGAATTATAATAATTCTGTGCAGTTTGTTCCACTTACAAAAAATAAAAATAAAATCCCATGAGATTTCTTAGAATCCAAAGAAATCCCACTGCAAGGAGACAGGAAGATTTGAGCTTCCTATTCTTGGTTTCTCACTGAGAATGAGAAACTACAAGAATAAGAGTCTTATATAAGCCTAGTCCCTTTCATAGACACTGTATCTGATGAAATATCTGTGGACAATCCATGAGAACGTGGGCCAGATATAACTCATTAACCTTGATTGTTTTCATGAGACTCTATCTTCTTTTTTCCATCTTCAGGTTATCCATATTATATTCCAGTACTTGAAGATGTTGCAAAAAAATGGTCCTGAAAAAAGGTATTTGTGGAGGTGGTGAGGTGTGTTAGGTAATAGGGTAAAACTTTATTGCCCTTTGATTTTTTTCCCTAATGCATATTCAGTATATAATGGAAGTTAGACAGCAAATGATGGAAAAATAAGTGCATAAAGAAAATGTGGGAATTATGCTATTTTAATGTCAGCATTCACATGCTTACGTTGGGTGATGATTTCCATGTGTGAATGAGTCATCACAGATCAAACACCTTAGACAGATTGTTTTTATTAATTTGGCCCACAAATGTTTACAATGAAATCACTTTGCATAATCAGGTGGAAGTCATCAAATATTAATCAGGCAAGTAGCATAAAAGTAAACATCTTATTTGTGCCTGTGTTTTTCCAGAGACCCATTGTTTCTTAGTCCAAGAACCATTATGATTACTCAAGATGTAGCTAGCCCTGCTTACATGCTGGAAGACTGCTTGCAAGATTTTTCAGATTGCCATGTTTACATCATTTTATAATGACCTTCTTTGGCTGATTATCTGAACATCTCATCAACAAAAGTATTATTGTTTTCTCTATTATTGTAAATTAGCTCCCAGAAGTAAACCAGTAATTTAGCACTGTCAATTTCCTTGAGTTTCTCAAAATGGAAGAAGTACGGACTTTTCCTTCTGCTACACTACATGGATATATGGATGCTATTGTTTTAATCAGCATTACTTACTAAGCATACAGTACAAGAGGACCATAGGTTTTCTCCTGTCTCTGATAATCCACAAATAGTTATTCTCAAATATATAATATTCTCTCTCATCTCCCCATGTGACACCTTCTACATGCCTGGAGTACAGCTCCTGTCATCTCTGGCATTTCAAAAACTGACAACATTTCCCCAAATGAAATGACGCTGTAGCCCCGTTCACAAACTCATTTAAGAGCCCCTAACTGAGCAGTTGGTATTTAAATAGATTATATATGTAGACTTGCTGTGCATAAACCTATATAGATTAGGATACATAAACCTGAACCTAGCCAGGTCATTGACATAGTTTCCTTCCCCATATGCACATCCAATTAATCCAAACTGAAGAGGGTAAACAGGGCTCTTATTGTCCAGCTATGTGAAATAGGTTTTAATCCATGTTCACTAAATGTTTTGCAAAGAGAGAGCCAGTGCTGTGCAGTGATTAGATTAGATCTTGGGGGATCCATGGTCTAGATGCTGGGATCCCCACAGTCAAGAAATTCACTGGGTGACTTTCAATCGGTCTGTTTCTCTCGGCCTAGTGTATGTCAGAGGGTTGTTGCACAGATAAAACGGGGGACGAGGAGAGCCATGTACACCACTCTTGAGATTTTTGAAGGAAAGGTATGAATGCAACCAACATGTAAACATGGCTTGATGTTCTTGTGTAATTTTCAAGTCCCTCCCTCCTCTCTTGGTTATTCAACAATATGAATGAAGAAAAAAGGCTTTCTGTTCAAGATCTACTACAGAAATTCAGGTTGGCTGGTTGTTTTATGAGTGGAAGTAAAGAAATATAGTCATAATTTTTCTATTTATAGGATATGGCAAGAAATTCAGAAGATTGAAGGCAATGAATTTTGCTTCCAGGAACAGGTAATTGTTGTTCATTTCCAATACTGCCTTGTGTCTACATTCATCCTACACATCTTAATATATAGTTTGTCTGAGAAACTAGTAATGATCTTACAGAGATCCAATGTCATATTTCAAGATCCTCAGCCTTCTATCCTTCCAAGGTTGGTAAAATGAGTACCCAGCTCGCTGGGGGGGGGGCAATGTGTAGCCTGCATAATTAATTTGTAAACCGCCTAGAGAGTGCTTGAAGTGCTATGGGGCGGTATATAAGCAGCATGATTTTTTTCTAAGGAATCCTGTTTTTTTTCTTTTTTTTCTTTTTCTTTTTTTGATTTTGGAACCACTGCTCATTGCCAGACTGACCCTCTTGAGTATGTAGAAAACATTTGTGAATATATGCACATTTTTCAGAAAGAGGACTTATTGATAGGAGATCAACTGCTAACTGAGTATAACCCTCAAGTAAGTGATTTGTCTCTGCATTTTGGAGGATGAAATTACGTAAGTGTTAATCTAAGAGTTCTTGCATAGAGTAGTAAACGTAGGGGGTAGCAATTACCTAAGACCACTTTGATCCTTTTGGCATATTTACTGCCCAAAATATGAATCTTGCACTTTTATGCAATACCCATAGTAAATATACCAATGATGTATCCATTGTGTATAGGACATGAGCATAGTCTCATATTCTCAGCTGGGTGTGGAACATTATTCAGTTCACATTTTGATATGAAAATGGGCACTTTCCAAATCAAAATATGAGCTGCAATGCAATTCAGGTTTCTCAGAATATTGGAGTGCAATTTTTCAAAATGAAAAATGTGCACAAACATTTTTTGGTGTTTAGTCGTTAAGTCATGTCTGACTCTTCGTGACCCCATGGACCAGAGCACGCCAGGCCCCCCTGTCTTCCACTGCCTCCCAGAGTTGGGTCAAATTCATGTTGGTAGCTTCGATGACTCTGTCCAACCATCTCATCTTCTGTTGTGCCCTTCTCCCCTTTCCTCACACTTTCCTAACATCAGGGTCTTTTCCAGGGAGTCTTCTCTTCTCATGAAATGACAAAGTATTGAGGCCTCTGCTTCAGGATCTGTCCTCCCAGTGAGCACTCAGGGTTGAAAAATGTACTAAACACCTTTGCATAATATTTCTGTAAACCTTTTGTTTGTAAAACCATGAATTGATGTGACACTAAGCAAGTAATAAAGTGTGGAACTGAGAAAAAGAACAATTTTAAATTGAATTTGACATAGTCATCCTAGGTTGATTGCTATCTTGTAATGATTTACAGGACTGAATTTCTTTTCCTTTATTCCCTGCACCTCCATTAGAAATCCACTTAGATTTCTACAAGATCCTGACACATTTGACCTGAAGTTCCATCTCCCACTACAGTTCTCTATAATAGCCTGAGAAGAGGCTGGGCGGGGGCGGGGACAATTCATTACAGTGAAGGGAGGTAGTTCTTCCTAGTTGATAGGCAGGAATAGCTACTTAAAATTAATGAACATATTCTTTTATACTAACAGATCATTGCAGATGCCCTTAATCATCTTGTTCCTCAAAGAGTTAATCTTTTCCTGTTATCTCCCGCCCATGAGGGGTTATGTCACTTGAAAGAAAAATGGTTCGGGACAAAGTACTATGTCTCAGGTAAAACAACAATTTATAGTCTTTACAACTGTATTTTTAAGTCTGCTTCTGGAATCTTACAACCACTAGGCATTGAGGAGATTTAATGCTGCATGAAGATGTTTATCTGACTGATCTCAATATGAAATAAGGAATCAATCTTCCTAATTCCTCCCTAGCTAAATCCATGGGTAGTGTTATATTGGAAAGGTTGAGCCATTCTTAAATTGCAGGGCCTATTCTTCATGAAGATGTTTATCTGACTGATCTCAATATGAAATAAGGAATCAATCTTCCTAATTCCTCCCTAGCTAAATCCATGGGTAGTGTTATATTGGAAAGGTTGAGCCCTTCTTAAAGCACCCTATTCTTGTGCTTTAGAAGGGTTTCTGGGACAAATATGAGAGTACAAACCACTCATTTGGTTTTGTGGAGACTGAATTTCAGACTATAATGGAGCTATGGCTGTTGAGCCAGATTAATACTTGACTTCTATTAAATCACTCACCTGGCGATGAGAGAGTGATTCTGTATTCCGTTCCATCCACAGATATTGATGAATATTGGAAAAGGTTGTGGGACACTGATTTTGAGTTAAATCCAGAGTTACATCTGCCTGAAGAAAACAGATATATAGGTCAGCCTGTGTTTTGTTGTTTTCAATGAAAAATGAATTGTATTGTGTTGTGTTCTGAATGTACACATTGCATGGGATTATTCTTGACTGACAGGTGATTTATAAATAACACAGGTGAATAAAATATTTCTGATTGCGAATTGTATTGTGTTGTGTTCTGAATGTACCACATTGCATGGGATTACTCTTGACTGAGAGGTGATTTATAAATAACACAGATGAATAAAATATTTCTGATTGTAAAGCAATCTGTTCATGCACTCAGCCAAAATCATCTGAAGGCCTTCCCTTGCATTCCCTCAGTATGTGGGAGTGGTACAGGACCCGTCCATATGCGTTCATCAACTGCACAGAAAGCATCTCAGAAGCATTCTGGGGTTGACTAATTATGATGTGGTATACATTGTGTTCTTTCCTTTAAAATGTTAGACTTTGCTTGTCTCCCTCTTCTCTCGCTTTTGTTTCATTCTTTTTAAATAGTACACGTGATATGTTAACAGTACACATAATATGTGATAATAATGTGAAGGTTGGTTTGCAGATATAATGGCTTGTTAACTGGCATTGTACAGTTCACACTGAACATTCTGAAAGTATTATAATTCACTGCTTTTCCCATAAGAGTGGTAACATGTCCCAGTAATGTAAGAAGCAAGTTTTATATCCAAGGTCATGTATGAACACCGGCTTCAAACTGAGTAACCTCTGAATCTTCCATCCCACACTAGCAACTGATTTTTCTGTCAAGAAATCAAGCACCAGTGCCACAGAATATCCTAAAAAAATAATGGAATCACGTCAAGGTTGTCTCTGGTACAAAGAGGACAATAAGTTTGGCGTCCCCAAAGGTAAAAGTCAATAAACAGTGAATTAAAACATATACAAGGCATATATATGTATTTAGAGTATGGGGGAGGACAAGCTAAATGTCATAGAAAGCCCCAAGGTTCTTTGGTTTAACACAGTGGTTCTTAACCTTTGTTACTCAGATGCTTTTGAACTGCAACTCCCAGAAACCCCAGTCAGGACAGCTGGTGGTGAAGGCTTCTGGGAGTTGCAGTCCAAAACTCCTGAGTAACCCAAGGTTAACAACCAGTGATTTAACATACAGAAGCAGTCAGCACTCTGGAGAGCTCTTGCCATGAGAAGATGCTTATTGATCGACCTTGGAGAAAACTGATGAGAAAGGAGTTCAAAATGAGTTATCAAGAAGCTATTATAATGGAAAACAATTAGCTGTGTCTAGGAGCATTGAACTCCTCAAACTATTGAAATGCCCATGTAACTGCTGCTGCTGTTATATGCCACCAAGTCATGACCTAGTAGGGTTTTTGAGGTACATGAGATATTAGTCATAGTTTGCCATTACCACTGTCTGGGGAGTTTCTGGGAGGTCTCCAGAGTCCGCACTCAATAATGCATTAGACTACACCATACTCTTATATGGTTGAGCCAGTTGGCTGGTTGGAATACTGATCAACTACACTCCTGTCAGAAAGTGAGGGTTTTCAGACTTCACTTATTTCAGCAACCAGCCCTGGAGAGTTTGTAATTTAAAGTCTGAAGATAAAAGGGGAAAGAGAGGCAAGGTTTGCCCTTTAGGATGTTTCAGATAGGGGTGAGGATTATGGGACTATGTAGCAGGATTCGCGGTGGGTTTGAATAGGAATGGAAAAGAAATTTGCATTCAGTTAGATTTTTCATTAACTTTTGCACCGTCTGGCCTCGAAAAGTATTAAAGAACATGCACAGGCATCATTTGGTTTCTCATCATCAAGCAGAATCCTTAAACATCGGATTTTTTTCCTCTTGCTTTTTCAAATTACATGTAGGCAAATATACGTAACTAAAAGGCCTATATTGAAAAATACGGACGAACAGCCCTTAGTCTGTGTAAAAAAGGGGGGGGGAACAATGCATGTTTGGAAAAGCATGTATCACATTTATGACAAACTTATGTGCAGGAAGAATGTTTTAAAAATCCTGCAGCTGAGATCCAAAACTAGGACAGGATGGGGATGCAGTCATCTTATGGGAATAGAATGTAAATAAAACTGACCAGATTTCTTATCCTAGCTTTTGAGGATAATATGGAGGAATGAATAAGCAGTGGTGCTCTGCAAGCCATCTGTGAGCAATCTGGTCTTCCTACAGGACCGGCCAATCAGCACTGGGCTTGTTGGCTGTGGCGAGTCAGTATGGGTGGAGCTCAACTTCAGAACATGGGAACCTGCCTTATACCTAGTTACACTGTGGGTTCATCCAGCCCCGTATGAACAATTCTAAGTTGCCACAATGGCTCTCCATTGGTTCAGGCAGGATCTTCTTGTCTAACCCCAACTATAGATCCCTGTCTCCAAATATTAACTAATTTGAAACCTATTTTATTTCCAGAATTGGATAAGACTGGAACAGCTTTTCATACACATGCACCTTGCCCATACACCTTTCTCAGGCATTCACAGACAATGATCAATTGATCCAAGGAGCACACACTTCCAGACATGAAGCAGAGGAAGTAAGAATGGTTACTTAGGGATGGTAAAATATAGTGTTTACAAAAAAATGGACTGACCCTATTCAGGAATTATCAAATCTAGGTTTATAAACTTGGTTAGAGGAGAACACGTAACCCCGTCCCCTCCTCCAGTGCCTTCTCCATATGAGTAGGAACAGATCTAAATAGGAGAGCTTCCTGCTTGTGTGCGGAATCACAATTCTCCAGACTTTTCATGGCTCTTGCCTGCTTTTAGAGCCTAAACATGACCATGCATCTCTTGGCTTTAAATTAAACCAGCCTAGCATGAAGAGTGGGTGTGGGGAGCAATCTGAGCACTGCACTCCAGCCAGCACAGGATGTAATAACACCTGGATGGGGCTTTTGTTATCTCTAAAGGGCTATACATTTAAGTGAGTGCAATATCTCATCTAATTTTCCATCTCAATTATTTTTTCTTCAGCATTTATCTGTTTCTATCTGGTGTCCCCACTGATACAAGAATCCGCACTGAAGTAGGTAGTAATTTCTTCTTTTCTTGGTATCATTTAACATTCTTGTACAGACTCTTTGTTGCTTTGTTTGATTATTTATGAATATTATTGTTTGCATCATCTGAGTGTGTTGCTTATAAATTTAATAAATAAATAAATAAAAATAAAATCTGAGTGTGTTGCTTATAGTACCGTAATCCATGATCATTGAGTGTATTTTCGAGAAGAGGACAATCATAGAGTAAAACAGGATAGCTCAGAGGTTTCTAAGTCCATGTTTGACTTGATTAACTGATCTTTGTGTGTGAAACAAACTGTGGTTTGTCATCTGGGAACTTGCGCCTCTCTTCTGGATCTCTCATTCAGCAATAAGCCTTTAAAAAACCCTTCCTTTGTACCCAAAATGACCTCTGTAGGGCAACAAAGGTTTCTAAAGGCTACATTTAGGAATAGATGTAAATCAGTGGTTCCCAACCTTGGGCCCCAAATGTTTTGGTGGTTCCCAAACTTGGGTCCCCAAATGTTTTCGAATGCAACTCCCTTTCCTAGTGGGAAAGGCTTCTGGGAGTTTTAGTCCAAGAACATATGGGGACCCAAGGCTGGGAACCACTGATGTAGATTGTTTCTTTAACGATGAATCCGCATAGTGATGCATTTTTTGTGATCGCTAATGCGATTGCATTGCAATGTTTTAATAGGCAAAACATCGCATTGCGATGATTGGTAAGTGTTTCGCTTAGCGATCTTCGCATTGCGATGTTTTGGGAACAGCTGATCAGAGGTTCCAAAATGGCCGCTGGGTCCACAAAATGACCGCCCACAGAATTTCCGCGTCCAAAATGGCCGCTGGGTCAACAAAATGGCGGCCCACAGAATTTCCGCGCCCTGCCCTTGCTTACCGGGCAGCGAAAATGGCGGCCGGATAGAAGATTCCCCACATAGCGGTGAGTTTTTCCCCAACAGGAACGCATTAAACGGAGTTTAATGCGTTCCTATGGGGCCCCCCCCCCCGCATAGCGATGAATCCGGATAGCGATGCGGGGCACCACGGCAATTCTTCTGCAAATTAAGTGGAATTGTGCAAAAGAAGACTTTAATGCAAACAATCTTTAACACAAATTATGCAACTTGCTTAAAATGTCTATGATTGATGTATTGTTGTATGGAGTTGTAAAGATTAGAAGTATCCAAAGGATAGTTTTGGAAGAAGTAGCTGCATCATCCTGTGCTAGCTTATCAGGCAAAAAGAAAAGAAAAAAGGGAAGACAAAAATGTTTTGGTACAAAGACTACTGCTAAATATTAATGTGAACTTTCATGGACAAGTCTGAAGAAGCGGACTTGTTCACAAAATATCACATTTAGAGATGGCTATGAACCAAGCAGTTCATGCTGGTTTGTACTTCATGCAAACAGGTGTTTGGTGCTTCCCATCCGCACCTCCTCTGGGAAGTGCCCACTCAGAGGCAGTGCCCCAGGTTCCCTGTCCCTCCTCCTCCAGGCACTGCCTCTGATTGGGTGCCCACAGGAGCAGGCGGGGCTGAGAAGTGCCAAACACCCATTCAGACAAAGTATGAATTGGCATGAAGTGCAGGTTCAGAGGTGTGTGTCAGTATCTAATCATACTAAAATATAGCCGTTGGTCTTTAAAAGGCCATGTTTTGTCTTCTTTTATTTTTACAAAGACCAGCCACAAATAAAACATCAAAATATATAAACATACAGAGCTATACAAAAATATTGGGATCAAATGCAAACACTCAGTTCTGAGATGAACAACAGCAGCATCAAAACATCTCCCTTAAAGCAATTCCAGAATTTCTAGCAAACCATGCTCTAACTACGGAGGCTTTATTTTCATATTCTTCTTTTGTTTTTGCTTGACATCCAAAGGATAGTTTGCCTCTTTTTTTAAACAATCAGTTAATCATTCTCTTCCTAATGGTGGGTGGGTGGGCGGTATGGATGTGAGTGCTTCACTTGTCAAGGAAATATGACACCATTTTTGCAGAGATTATTTGCACAGATCATGGAGGCAAGAAAACCTTAGCATGCAGCTACAGTCTCCTTTTCTCACTCTCCTTGAGAGGTGGAAAATTTTGTGAGACTTGAGAATTAAAAAATAATTTCATGATTATTCTTAGCATCTCTATTCCATTATAACTAATGGGAATATTTTAAGTCACAGTTTTGTTTATAGGGACAACAATTTAAGCAGAGTGGGTGCAGATATGAAGTGAAAAAGCTCTGAGATGTATAGTTACCCCGTGTGAAATAACATTATATTAATGAATACCCACCTTGATGTCTACTCCATGAAGCTCTGACAACTCTATTGTGCTTTTTCATCTTGCTCCTTACCTAGTATGGTCCTTTTTGATACTTTCATAAGCATCCTTAGCCACAACCTTGCTGAACCAGCATATGAAGCAGATGTTGCCCAACTGGAATACAAAGTCATAGCCAAGGAGCATGGCATGACCATCCGAGTGAAAGGATTTAACCATAAACTACCTGTGAGTAGCCTTTGTATGTTAATAAATGAAGCTTACATTCATTACATTGAATCATCTGACAGATATCAGCCTGATATTTGGATCTCACATCTTGCATTTGGATTTTGCTTCTGGATTGTCTATCATGGATATATAATTCCTTATTGAGTTTGGATAGATGACAGCAAACCCTCTGAGATGGGGAACCAGCTAAGATTGTCCATAAATATATGTGACATAATGGATTTCAAAAAGCTGGGAGAGGGGATTTTTTTTCAGCCAACAGCACAAATAATTCAGTTGAATCTTTGGTCTCATTATGAAGCAAGGAGATAGAGAAGCTATGACACAATTGCTACCAAGTGTCCTTGTAGATCTTAATGGAAGGTCTATTCATAGTTAAATGGAGGAATAGATGATGTCTGGAGCATAGGTGGTACAAGTTAAAAAAACTCAGTGTGACCAAACATGAAAGCTGAGTATGATCAAACATGACATGCTGTCTCTACTGTATGACACAAAGTGTGATCCAGTAACGGGACTCTTGCCCACAATAGTAGATATGATAATCGTCTGACTTGAATTCCCCCCTTCCCCTTCATTTTAGTTCACTGACGCCTAGTATTTATTTATTTATTTGATTTATACCCCGCCTATCTGGTCTACTGGTATCTCAGTAATGTTCTTGTTGGTATTGGCTCAGAAGGAATAGGACTGGAACCATCAGACATCTGCCATGATGAATTTGCTAATTACTTTGGATAGTCAGCTGCTTGTATCTATTTGGATCTTGATACTATAGATGCATCAGGATCTGAGCAGGTATGCAAGACAGCACATTGTTTCATTTTTGTTGCTGCAACCTGAAGAGTTTAAGAGATTTGAAGTCGTCTTCTCCATAACATGTATGCTTGAAACTTACCCTTCTTGCTGATGAGGTAGTAGAAGGGAAATGGTTGGGTGAAGATGGGCAGCAGGATGTGCCTCATTATGCTAAGGGATCGTTCCAATCATTTTGAAAGAGAAACTACTGTTCTCTCCCCTGAAGCAGATTTCACTGGACTTAAAAGAACATCAGAACTTCCAACCAATAGCTACTCTCCACACTTTGAGCAAGATCTATGACAAAATGGAGATCAATAAGCTTTAGGTGTTCCTGGAGGAAACACAAAGGCAGCAAAGTAATTCCACTGGATTTTTTTTACTAGGATTTTGGACCAAAGTAATCTGGGTCTCCCTTGGTCACATGGTCTGAGAGAGGGATCTCTCATCAACTGTGGTACCTTTTTGGACCACCTCTGAGCAAAGGAAGACAAAAGCATAGTGTTAGGATAGTTCCATTCTAGCCAGCAGAATCAGTTTCATCAACTGTGGTATCTTTTTGGACCACCTCTGAGCAAAGGAAGACAAAAGAATAGTGTAAGGATAGTTCCATTCTAACCTGCAGAATCAGTTCCAGATCACACTGGACAATTTCTGCCCAGGAACTGGGGGGGGGGGGTTGCCACAGGATTCTGCCCCCTGTGCTGTTCAGAATTCATGGAGATTTACAATTTGAATGTAATCAGTATGCTGATGATACCCAGTTTTATTTCTCCCTGTCACCTGAGCCAAGTGGGGGGGGTGAAGATGTCTGAATGGTGAAATTAGCTGGCTACCAAAGTGATACTGTGTCCTGACAAGATGGACTTTGTATGGATTGGTTGTTTTCAAATCTAGGAACTATAGAATCAGCATATATATGCAGCACGGCTACTCTGCATTTGTTGAGCTTTAATTTGTGTAAATTGTGCATGAACTGAGAAACAGGATTGTGTTATGAATTGTATGTGACTCTCTTATTTGTCCCAAAATGTCTTGTTATAAAACATGTCTTTTTCTTTTCAGCTGCTCTTCCAACTTGTAATTGATCACTTGTCTGACCTCAGTATCACACCTTCAGCTTTCCAGATGATAACCGAGCAGCTTAAAAAGACATATTTTAACTATCTTATCAAAACAGATACCCTGGCAAAGTGAGTGTTTTTAGGGAGACCATATAGAAAATCCTATAATGTTAGGGCTCCGTGATATAAATTCACTTACTAAAGAAACATCCATGGGAAATGTCATCATTAGAGATGGACATGAAACAAACTACAAATTGAAAAAATTCACGAATTGGTCTGGTTCGTGGTTCATGTCATAGTTTGGTCTGGGGATTCAATTTTGCCGAAACAAAAAAAGTGCCACACTTTTTCTGCTGGGCATCTCATTTTGCTTTGGCAAAATGGATCCCCCTCCCCACTGTCCCTGTTGTCTTTCTAACTCGTCCTGCCACCTCCTACTCTTCATTCTCCATCGCTGTCATCTTTAGAGACAGCGCCCTGGCTTCCCTTTCAAGAACTAGGCCAGCTGTCTTTGTGCATCTGCACATCTAGCTGTCCATGCCGAGAGACAAAATGAGTTTGTTGGTATGTAGAATACCTGGGAATTCCTTATTTTCAGTATTTGATAACTTGCAGATTAATTGCATTCATTGACAAGAAAGGTATTCCGGTGAGTGGATGATGCCATGAAAAGTGTTCCTATGAAATTTGCTCATAAATGCATGCAAAAAAAAACTGTTAAAAGCAACATTAACACAGCTATTTCAATATGATACACCTGTTTATTCCATGGACTAGATATATGAACAACTTTCAGACTGCTTCTGGCAGGATAGGTGAAGAACCATAGTATCAGAAGTGGCATTTAGCCTTTGATTAGCAGCATTAATGCCCAACTCATGGTTAATGTGAATAGTTCTCTAGAGTCAATCTTTCGAGTTTTTGCAGTCATAAGGGCACAAAATGCCAGGATAAAACCTTGTGAATTAACGTCTATTTGCTGGATGTTCTCTTTCCTTCGGTTTACAGAGATCTACGACTCTCAATACTAGAGCACGGCAGATGGTCTTTAATAGAGAAGTACCAGACTGTTACTAATGGCATTTCCCTTGAATCAATGCTCGAATTTGTAAAAGCTTTCAAATCACATCTATGGGTAGAAGGACTTGTCCAAGGAAATTTTACAAACTATGTGAGTATAGGTCCAAACTATCTCAAGGACCATATCTCCCTTCATGAGCCTGCTCGGGGATTAAAATCATTAGGAGAGGCCTTCCTTTTGGTCCCGCCACCTGCACAGGTGAGGACCCAGGGGAGGGCCTTCTCTGTTGCTGCTCTCAAACTTTGGAACTCCCTCCCACAGGAGGCCAGGACGGCCTAATATTTGCTGTTCCATAAACAAAGACCTTTCTCTGCACACAAGCTTTTCTCTCAGTGACTGGCTGCTCTGAATGGGGTTTTTAAATGGATTGTCATGCCATACTACTTTTAATTGTTTTTGATATTGCTTTGTTTACCATTTCTTAGAGTGGTAATTGTTTGATTATTTTTAGTATTTGTGTACTTACTAATTTTAGCTTTAAATATTCCAATGATATAAGCCACCTTCGGTCCTTTTTAAGAAGAAAGATGGGGTAAAAATATTTCAAGTAAGTAAGTAAGTAAGTAAGTAAGTAAGTAAGTAAGTAAGAAAGAAAGAAAGAAAGAAAGAAAGAAAGAAAGAAAGAAAGAAAGAAAGAAAGAAAGAAAGAAAAGTTAAGCATCTGTAAATTGGGTTCTATTTTTATTGAAAACCAAGCACGTAGCTGTTACAAACCTTGGCTAATTTATGTTAAAATGAAAATTCCTTATTGACCCATTTCTATTTATTTTGTGTGTGTATGTGTATGGGTGTGTGAAAAAAATTCATGTAAATAAAAATAGATACCTTTTCCCATTTATCTTCTAGGAATCAAAGCAGTTTATGAATTATATTGCTCAGTGAGTATCTTGATTTGATCCTCAGTGTGTGGGAAAATGTTACAGTGTATTTTCTCATTTATGGTGCATATTGCATTGATATAGCTGTCCGTTATTTGTGTTATAAAATAAAAATACATATTGATTAGTATTGCTTTCTAACATTCATTAACATAACATCCCTGATTTCTCTTGTAATTCTTTAAAACAGTGCTTCCCAAATTTGGGTAACCCAAGTGTTCTTGGAGTGCAATTCCAGAAATGAAGGTTTCTTGGAATTGCAGTCCAAAAACACTTGGTGTAGCCAAGGTTGGGAAGCACAGTTTTAAAAGGATGAAGCATAGTGTCAGGGATGGCACATAACAAAAAATCCAGGATTTCAAGGATGAGCTGCAGTCAGCTTTCAGCTCCTGCACTGCTATGTCCCCTCTACACTAGCTTGTCTTCAAGGTGGAAGTAAGGAGATCTTACTTGTTTCCAATTAACCAGAGTTTAGCACATTCTTCAAATTATGGTTCCCCCCTATAATTTGTTGAAACAAGCTAAGGTCTTTAACTATGATCTGACCTTTCAAAAAACCTTTAGCACCATAATTATAGTTGGTCAGATCTGAATGTCACAACAAGCTCTTGTTAATCAAAAATGTGTGTGCTTCTTTTATAATGTAGCAGGATTCTGGCCTTGTTCTCCCCCCCCCCTTCAGTTTAAAAAGAGATCAGTTGTTTGTCACTATGCTTTCCCTATGCTTTCTTCTTCTTCTTTTCTCTCTTTCTTCAGAAAATTGCGCTTCCTTCCTCTAATTCACCGATGTCCTATTCAGTTCCGGGTGATAGAACTGCCAAACACTCACATCCTGTGTAAAGTGAAGTCCCTTCACAAAGGTGATCCAAATTCTGATGTTACAGTCTACTATCAGGTAATGTAGATCTAGGCCCAGTTATACTGGTGTTTGTGCCTGTCACTTTACATATTTTCTCTTTCGCCTCTTTTTCACTGTATTGAGTAAATCATAGTTTTTGATGTCACTGAATTCTGGAATCATGCCATAATTCACCTGGTATAAAATACCATGATGTAACACTTAAGATTGTATTTTTTAGGAGGAAACTCCAGGTCTATCCATAGTCCATGATAAGTACATTGACTGAAATTCTGTATGTTATGCCCATCTGAGAGCCCACTCACACCACATTATTTCATTTCATTTTGCTCTTTGACACCACCAGAAGCTACTGCATTTGCGTTAGGAGCCTTTGAGAGAGGTTCTTTGAGGCCCCTCATATACCCTAACCCAAACCAGTCCAGGCCTTTCCTGATTCCATTTTATTTTTTTACAAATGGCCACTGCTGGAGCTGCTGCAACTCATGACTTGAGTCTGGAAGCAAAAAAAAATGTTGATCCCCAATCTGCTGATATTGCCCACCCCTGCCTAAAAGAAAGATTTATTTATGCTGCATAAATATGGGCTACTTGTATTCGTATCTCTGGGGAAACAAATACAAATAGCCCACGTCTAGTCTTTTGTCTCTTCAGTGATCAGCTGTGAAACTTACAGACCTTTTGGGTTCATCAAGTAATCACCAACCCCATTAGTCACACTTCTTCTTATTTTTATTTTTTATAGATAGGTGCGAAACATTTAAGAGACTATACACTCATGGAATTGCTCGTGGTAAGTTATCATGATTCGTAAGTTTAAGAATGGGTGCTTTTCCTCTGCTTCATGGTCCCTGTTTCCTGATGTTTCTTTCAGTTTTATTTATCTATAAGTTACTTAAGGAGCTTTTGGTACAGGAGCAGATTAAAAGTCCTTTTACTTATTACTTGTAGAAGTGACCATCTTCACAATATTAGAAACCCTAATTCACCACACTTCAGGGCTTCTTATCTCTTCTGCTGTTTAACCCCTTCACCTGTATTTCTTTGTTGTTGTTTCCTCATTTCTTCTTGGTGTTCATTCAACCTTTCCTTCTACTCGCTGTGGTCTTCTCGCAGTCCTACTTTCTAAGCAGTACAAACATCTCTCACTCACTTGTTTGATGAGTCCAGGAGACCTATAGAGGGAGATGAAGTACCAAGAACAATAGGATTTTGTTGAAAAAATTAGAGAAAGAAATGGAGTGGATTTCAAAATTAAGGACGTCGGCTTCTTCGGACATAAATAAAGAATTAGAGTTCCATTCCTCTGAGAATAAGATTTAGAGTTCTCAACATCCTCCCCCTTTCTTAGATCAGACATGTCCTTGTTAGAGACCTATGAATTTAATTAGCATGTCCCAGCTCCGCACATGCCTAAGAGACAAAATAAAATTTCTAGTCTGGCAGGTGTTAGCAAGTTGGACTGGATACTCTTTTGAGAGAAATTTCTACAGACTGATCCCTTTTAATAAATACGTGTAGGCTGCAGATTGCAATGGACAGGAATATGCATGATTGTACACTATCTAGTGTTTGTGCAACTATATTTATTCAGGTGTTCTCTTTTATGTATCTTGAGAGCGCCAAGAAAGCAGCCTTAAAGTATTAACAGACTAAAAAGGACCAGGCGTTTTAAGAAATAAGTATTGTATTGCAGCATCTTGAGATTTATAATACGTGGGTTTAATGTCTAATAAAAATGTACATATAGAAATTGTACTGATTTCAGATTCACATGGAGGAGCCATGCTTTGACTTCCTGCGAACCAAGAATACACTGGGGTGAGTTTGCTATCTTCAAAAAAATCTGTTCTCTCTCCTTGCTATATGAGCCCCTGAAGGTTCTGTCTGGACTCCCTTCCCCTCCCCTTCCCAGTCCTCCTCCAAATTTCCCTTTGCCTCTCCTTGTCATTCTGCTGCCCCTCTACCTGCCCTGTATGAAAGGAAGCACAGGGTCAAGATGTCGATATTTACATAGAAAGTTTTCCATGGTTTGGGACCCCATTATTTGTTGGAGCATCTGACCCCAATGTCCTCTGCCCAATCCACCAGACCTGGCTTCTCCATGTGGCCACCTTGAGGGTGGCCCAAAAGTTGCCCACTAGAGGAAGGGTTTTCTCCATGGTGGTGCCAACTTTATGGAATCAGCTTCTGGAGGAACTAGACCTGGCTCCCTCCCTTTACTCATTCAGAAGAAAACTTAAGATGTTGTTCTGTAGAGAGGCCTTTCATACTGACCCAGCTTGATATTTTGCTCATCTCCAGATCTCAATTGTTCTGGTGTCATTGGGTTTTTTATACTGTTAGTCTTTTTAACTGTTTGTTTAGTTTTCTATATTTTGTTTTAATCTGTTGTCAAACTGCCCGGAATAGTTGTTTTGCACTAATAGGGCAGTATATTAAACAAACAAACAAACACTCAATGCAGATAGTGGATCTTTACCCAGAATTGACTGGGCAGGAAGAGGAGGGGGGAGGAAATAAGGCAGTGCAGCAACTCTATAGTTTCCCACCTCAGCCACCAATAGATTTTGAGTACATTATCTCCTCCCCACACCAGACTCCGATTTGCTCATAGCTGTTTCCTAAATCTTGTGCATCAAAGGAGAAACAAAGCAGATCCTGCAGTCTCAAGGCCATCCCTGCTGTAGAAGAAGGCAGCACAAGCAAAACCAACATTCAAGTATAATCCTGTTTAAAATGACCAGGGGATCTAGCCATTAGAAAGGGCTGTTTTAGAGAGAAGACACAGCTTTGTGCCAGCTGCTTCTGGTCAAGGCTATGGGCTGACCCATGGTTATTTCTTCTCTCTTTTACCCGACTGGGGCAATGACAAAGAAATCAGTAAAGCTGCGGGTCTAATATAATTCCAAACACCAACCAAGTAGTGGTTCCATACTCTTTGCATGAGCAGATGGATGAAGACATGGATGATGGATCACTCCCATAGACAACTTAATACTTGTTAATGATCAGAATAAAATGACTTGTGCATGTGGAATGTTATTCTTCTCTTTTGGTTTAAGCTACCATGTATACCCTTCCACAAGAAACACATCTGGCATCCTGGGTTTTTCAATTACCGTAGTAACACAGGCAAGCAAATATAAGTAAGTATCCTATTTTTTCCATTGAAGTGCAGTTAAATTTAATATTATTCTTTCAGCCTTGAGATGGAGTTCTGAAGAACTTATAGTTACGTAAGACTTGAAGATTTCTGGACTGGAATAAATATCTATGACATGCTTAAAACATACAGTGTAGCCAAGAGGCATCATATTCCCCATAATTCTCCATTATAAATGCTTCTATTCCTCTCTTCCAAATCTTTTGAAAAAAATTAATGTCATTACTGAGATCTGTTTTCTTGTACAAGCCATTGTACATGAATTGTGAGGCCAGTAAGAGGCATGTGTGTTCATCATGTCTATGGCCCTGATCCAGGTTAAGTACTGGTTATTACTAAGTCACATTAATGCTGGTAGAACAAATTGGTTGTGATTAATGTCCTACAACCTTCATGGAAGTTAACACAGCTGATGTTAGCTGGCTGAATATCTCTGTCTTTGAAAGCAGACATTAGAGTATTTAGTTCCAACAACCGGTACTGCTTACATTAGTTTGAAATATATTTATAAATACTACAGTGCAGTGATCAGCTGGGGGCAGCTGGTTATGCACCCCAGATATAAAGGATTTTCGTGGAATATTGATTCAAACTAGAAGTGTAGACTCATTTTCTTCAGAAATGTACAAGAGGTTATCAAAACCGTTGCTATTTCTTGCAAAAAAAAATTCTGATGCATTGTCTGAGCTAAAACTTCCAAACTTGGATCATCATCTTGCTTTCTGTAAGGGCCACTGGCAAGTTACAGATTTGTGGCTTCCCACCCTCTTTTAAAAAATTAGTTGGTCCCATCAAACCCTCTTTCTTTTCCATGATGCTTCAACTGAAGATGTGAACAGTGTCAGCCTCGCTTTCCCTTGCATTTACGGTAGATTAATTTCTTTCTGTCACTAATACGAAAAAAACACTGCACATTTTGGTATATTCTGGGGGAAAAAATGAACTGAAGAAAAGTTCTGGTCCCTGTGCCAGATAATGTTATTCTCAGTAAGGAGACAATCACATGGTAAGTATTAAACTTAATGTAGCCACAAGGGATGAGCACAAACTGTTGAGTTGTTTAGCAGCTGAACAGATGCTCAGCATTTCCCAGCCCTTCTTCCTCTGGTGGGCACCCACTTGGAAGCAATGGCTTCCACCGTGTCCTCTGGGTGCTGCAAAAGGAAGCAGGGCTGGGAAGTTCTGAGCACCTGTCCAGGCATTAAAAGAAGTAGCACAAACTGCTGAACCGACGGTTCATACTCATCTCTAGTAGCAATCCTAATTCGGGTCCAGCAATAAACAGAGATTCCAAGTTAGAATTTAAAAAGTTATGCACACAGACCCAAGTGTAAATGAATGCATTCAATTTTTTTAAAAAAATCAATCGGGCATATTTTCGAAAAATAGTGTTAAATATTTAAACTGGATAAATAATTGTTGTGATCAAAAATAAGATACCATCGTGTTTTTTTCTTGAAACATGCCAAGGTACTTTCCCCCATTTCCTTTTTTTTAAGTAGTTGAAAACAGCCATCTGTGGGAGGACCAGGGGCATAATTTTGGTTTCTAAGCAATCTAAGCTCATCCCCACACAGATACACACTCACAAGATGCACAGTAAGTGGGGACTGAACTCAAAAAGGCCAGAAAGAATAGGAATACAAAAATTATCTAACAGTTGTCTTCACACACATGTTTGAAGGCAGTAATGCTAGCTAGGCTGAATATGTGTCCTGGTTACCTTTTTCTTTACAAAACATGTGCTAATCTTTGCTTGGATGTACTTGTCACCCAGCACTGACTGTTGAAAGCTGTTTTCCCAAACACCATTTTAACAACATAGTCACCAGTCTAGAGTCTTCTGTTCCTGAGGCCCATGCCCGCCATATTGCAACTACAATGCTTGCTGTACCCAGAGGTCACCCAGGGGAGGGAGGTCACCCAGGGGAGGTCTCTGAAGTGATAATAAGGGGAAGGCACAAGTGATTGTCCCTCTCAGGAGAGAAATGGTCTCGGACTGAAGAGAAGCCACACACATTAAATGGTGTTGTCTAACAGAAGAATAAATATGGCATTTTAAAAAATGGTTCATCCATTAATGGGATAGGATAGTGTCTTGTTTTTAGGAGGTCTTATAAGGCATTAGTAGCTTAGTGGCTTACAAAATATTTTAATAAACATAGATCTTATTGATGATCATCATTTTCTTAGCACTGAGTTAGTTGACAGAAAAATAGAAGATTTTCTATCTCAATTTGAAGAAAAGCTTCGGCACTTATCAGAAGAAGAATTCCTTGCTCAGGTAAGATTAATGGCTTGTTTACATGGTGCCTGAAGTTGGATAATTCCAGCCACAGAAACTTTATCAGGAATTTCTGGGAAATGGGCTGGTCACGAACAAAATGCTTGCTTGCAAGATTGAGACTACATTGCTCAGGAGCATGCAAGGATGCCTAATGCCAAATCAGCTCATCAGTCCATTCTGTTCTGTATTGGCTACACTGACCATTGATATACAAACAGCCATGATCCTTCCCCAAAGAGTAGGGAAATCATTGTTCTCTGCCAGATGAAGATTCTGCTTTTGGAACTAGTTTAATCTCAACAGCTGAGCAGGATTATGTGAGAGCAGCTGGTCCTTCAGTCTCACTGCTGCTCTAGTCAAGCTTCTGTTGAATAACTTTCAGCTAGTTGACTCTGTTCCACTACCCAGAATACTCCTATCTCTTTTCATATAAAAAGACCAAAATGTAAAGTAACATTGGATAGCAAGTAATCCATGATAGCGGAATTTGATTGTTCTTTTTTTCCAGTTGCACAAGCAGTAGTGTGTTCTTGATGCCCTTGGATGCACTGCAACTAGTGCAACTGGCTCAGCTATTACTTGTACAACCATCATATCTCTTGTAGAAAGATCATAATGTTAATCCATGTCATTCAAGCTGGGGAGGTAAGTGCCAGAGGTGTGCGGTGAACTCCATTCAGTTGAGGTACTCAAAGTAAATTTGTGAGCTCTTTAAGTCTATGTCTTTTGCAAGGGTGCAAAAGACATAGTTGACAGAAAAATAGAAGATGGGTGGATCTTGGGTTACTTCAATGACATAGATTCTCCAGGTCTGCTGTCTATCTTCTTCTTCTTCTTCTTCTTCTTCTTCTTCTTCTTCTTCTTCTTCTTCTTCTTCTTCTTCTCCTTCTTCTTCTTCTTCTTCTTCTTCTTCTTCTTCTTGCTTTATGATGCACATTGGAAGCACTTTCCATTTTTTAAAAAAAGAAATTTTTCCTCTGAGAGCAGTAAGTAATGTCATATTTTACAGGTCTCAGCTCTGATAAAGCTTAAGCAAACCGATGACTCCCACCTTGGTGAAGAGGTAGACAGAAACTGGAACGAAGTGATTACTCAGCAGTATTTGTTTGACAGACTTGCTCGAGAGGTGAAAATACTACCAGGATTGTTCTCTAATTCATTTTTTTAAAACTGCATATAATTCACAACAAAAATACACACATTTTATGGCTCAGTTTTGATCATTAAATGACTTTGGGTTTGGTCCACAAACTAGCTAAAATGGAAAATAGAGACTTATGCCATTTCACTTTGTCAGTGCTGTGAGATGAGGTAAATTTAGTGCTCCTCTGTAAGCAATTTGCTACACAGTGAGGACTGGGTAAAATGGAAAGATGTGTGATTGAAATTCCTGAATAACATACTTGCAAAAAAATAAATATTCTGCCCAGCTTCCCACAAGGGAAAGTGAGGAGCTTTTACATGAATGTCATCTGCAGGTCATTGGTGAAGTAGCTGCAACTAAAATCTTCACAATTTCATTCCGTAGCTGCTGGACACTGAATTCTTTAATGTGACAATCACTGTTAGATTTCTTTCTATGGACTAAAAACATGCTGCTTCTATACCGTCCCATAGTGCTTAAGGCACTATCTGGGCAGTTTACGAGTTAATTGCACAGACTACACATTCCCCCCCCTCCGCAAGCTGGGTACTCCTTTTACCAACCTCGGAAGGATAGAAGGCTGAGTCAACCCTGACTGGGATAGATCCCTACCTGGGATAGAACACTCTGGGTCGTGAGCACAGTTTTTGGCTGCAATACAGCAATTTAACCACTACACCACGAGGCTCAACTAGCAGAAATCCATATCTATTTTGCCTTTATTTCTTTTTTCTTTTTGTGAATTTTCTTCTGAAGATTCCCCACCTTTCCCTGAGTTTTAGATTAAAAATAATCTTAGAACGGCAGAGCTGGAAGGGACTCTATGGATCATCGAGTGAAGCCCTTGTCAAGGAGGCACAGTGGGGAATTAAGCTCCCAACCTCTGGCTCCATGTTTGTGTGAATATTTATGTCCTCAGTCAGACGTTATAAATGGATCTGATTTTCAAAGGCAGCTATCTATTTCCAGAGTGGTCGATGTATCGATCTGTTTCAACAAAACTAGAACAAAGGCTGGCGGGACCTTGTGGTTTTGTGGACTAGACACACCTGCACGTATAATGTACACACACATTTCCCTTATAGCCATTGTATACACATTTCTATCAGGTGAAAGTTGCACTTTATGCACCTGATGAATTGGGTTCTAGTGCATGAGAGCAGATGCGATAATATCTTGGTTAGTTTGGGAGGATGGGAGAAGGTTCACACTTTCCAGATAGGACATTCACAGAATTTACTGGGATTTACCTTCACGTCCTGATGGTGGGTGCCAGGGTGCCAAATTGGATCTCTGCTTCACTGCCTTTGGAGAGAAAGTTAGACATTCTCTATCGTTATTGACCTGCTTCTGTATTTACTTGGCCTTCCTTCCCCCTGCTGCCTGTCCATACAAGTTTTTTTTAAGTCTTTTTTTTTTTTTTTTGCTCCCAGACCAGGCTTCCTATTAGACATTGCGATTGCTCTGTTACCTCTGTTACCTCTAACCTCTGTCCATCTCCTCCTATAGTTCACACTTTCCAGATAGGACATTCACAGAATTTACTGGGATTTACCTTCACGTCCTGATGGTGGGTGCCAGGGTGCCAAATTGGATCTCTGCTTCACTGCCCTTGGAGAGAAAGCTAGGCATTCTCTATTGTTATTGACCTGCTTCTGTCTTTACTTGGCCTTCCTTCCCCCTGCTGCCTGTCCATACAAGTTTTTTTTAAGTCTTTTTTGCCTGCTCCCAGACCAGGCTTCCTATTACACATTGCTATTGTTCTGTTACCTCTTCCTCTAACCTCTGTCCATCTCCTCCAATGGTTTGCTGTATTCCCCTCCCTCTCATTTTAGACTGACAAAGCACTGCAGTGCAGACCCAGCACCCTGCTTTTAGAAGCAGTTTCTAGAGCCATTTTAAAAGAAAGAACATTTGGTGGTTGTTTTGGGCTGGGAAAGGCAGTATGCCAAAGCAGCATAAAATAAAACAAAAGGTTTGAAAAAGGGGGGGGAGGAATTGTGTAGGAACTCATACAAAAACCTTTGTTCCTCCTGTACTTATCAAGACAAGGGGGTCATCATCCAAATGAAAGAAAAAAATCTTATTAAGATGTGTGCTTGATGGGGAACTTAACAGGGTATAAATGCCCCATCTGGTAGAGGTTTTTTGTTGTTGCTTTTCAAAAACAAGAAGATTGAACCAGCCCCATCTAGTGCCTGACGGTAAAGGTAAAGGTTCCCCTTGACCATTTTTTTCGTCCAGTCGTGTTCGACTCTAGGGGGCGGTGCTCATCCCCGTTTCCAAGCCATAGAACCAGTGTTTGTCCAGAGACAATCTTTGTGTGGTCACATGGTCAGTGTGACTTAGACACGGAACGCTGTTACCTTCCCACCAAGGTGGTCCCTATTTATCTACTCGCATTTGCATGCTTTCAAACCGCTAGGTTGGCGGGAGCTGGGACAAGTGACAGGCGCTGACTCCATCCCATGGATTCGATCTTATGATTCGATCTAGTGCCTGAAATCTAGGAATAAAATAGCCATCTAGGCCCCTTTCACGTATCTCCCATTAGTCCATCCCACGGCCAGGAAACTTTGAGTTGAGCTTTATTTCTTAATAATTGTTCAGAGTTACACCCTTTGACAGCTGCACATTTTTTATTCTTGTGATCCGTAGTTTATACCTTCGTGTTTGCAGTTAATAGCAGGAGATCCTAAAACACTTATTTTCTGTTTGGCTTATAGATTGTATGCCTCAAGAGTCTTACCAGATCACATTTGCTTAATTGGTTTCTAACATTCAGAGGCAAAGGCAAAAGAATTTTGAGTACCCATGTGAGTATATCTGAAATTAAAATTCTTGCTTTCTATCTCTTCTTTAGATATCTATGCATGTTACAGATAAAGGAGAAAATGTGTCCATTTTTTTACATACAAACATATCCAATTCACACCTTCTGAACTTACATGCAAACTGAAACATAACTACCATGCCAAAATGTGCATATTCTAGGATGTAAGATGATTCACAACCCCAGAACTGCACATAAATATACTCAAAAGCACAAATGCCCTAAGTGAAGATGTATGGACCAAAATGTGTTGTATTATGAGGAAAATGTATCCAAAAATGTTTCGCACTATGATTCTGCTTGATGGCTTAAGTGAGATTCATCAGTATTCCTTCTGGAATTGGTCCATCCTTTTAAAAATGTCTTATGTTTACAAAATCTGTGCATCATTGTGATGCAAGTCAATAGTTTGGGCCAATTCAAGCTTTGTAAAAGTGTTGTTGTCCTCTAAAATATAATCTGTTAGGATGTTAAACAGAACATTCATAAGGAACACAGGGCTGTACTCATTTTTGCATGTAATTACTTTTCTTGAAAAAATCTAGTATTGAGGTATTTATTGTAACCATCTGGTTTTTGAATTTTCAGGTGGTTGGATACGGTAAACAAGAAGGAGACTTAGATGTCCCACATGCCTCCATTGTTCAGGAATCTTTGTTTGGCAAAACACCTGAGCTAACATTTTTACCCTCTTCTCCTCAGTTAAATTTACCTTCTATTATGGACATCCGAGCTTTCATCTCCACTCTTGACATTCTTCCTTACCACAAGATACTGAAGTAAACTTTTGTCAGCATTACTTTCAACTGTGTTTATGTGTCATGTTTTCATTTTCAGCCATGACATTTTCTTTCCGTTTGTTCCATCTGTCCACGATAATCCATAACTTGTGTATATAATTTTGTGTGGGGAAGTAAGGAAAAAAAGCATCAGGTGGCAAACACCAGTTAACTTAAGGTAGCTTGACCCAACTGTCACATTCAAGGGTTTGATACTTCTGACGTTATGCTTTGTTATTAAAATGTTCTGGATATGTTTTATAGTTAAACTGTGGAACCGTTTGCATTTCTGTGAACAATTAGTCACACAGAGCAACATAGGGGCCTTGAAGTTTGCAATTAACAACTGTAAAGACTCTAAAAGGGGGAGATGTTCCTGTGCCATAAAATGCCATCGGAAGTGGGGGAGGTTATATATTACTTCTTTCCTAGATTTCGGTTTCATTTTCATAGTGCAAGAATATTACTATGTGAAGTCTGATAAGAATATTGGATATTTCCATTTCTAGTTAAAACCAATTATTTTTCACACAGCACGGTTGTAATTTAGACTTCTTAAGTGAAAATAAATCATATAGACCTCAATCCTCAGAACAGCTTTAGATATACCCCCCAATGGGGATAGGTGCTCCTTTTTTTCATCCCTTTCCTCTGAGCCACAGGCCCTTAAGAGCATATTACAAACTGGTGTGTGTTTGTTTTTTTTTTAATCCCCTCAGATTTTTTTTTAATGGTGTGTCTTGTGGGGTAGATACCAAAGTTAACAAAACATAAGTTGAACACTGTCATGGTATAGATTATTAAGGTTAAAATGTGAACTGTGGATAGGATATGTAGTTGTGGAAAGTTATAGAAAGAATCCATATTGTTTCTGTGTTCGCATGATTTTGTGCCATGAGAATGTTTTTTCCATGAGGTGAATGGAAAGTTCCATGTAAACAGCTGTGTTATGAGACAATAAGGAGTCAAGACACAACACCCTTGTTTGGATCCTTACCCGAGATGAGGAGATGGGAAAACAACACCTGTACTCATGGGGAAAGGAGGCATGATAAGAAGAGACTGTTCTTTACACCTATTGGTTAACATCTCGAAGGAATGAAGAAGAAGGACAGTGCCAATAAGGAAGAAAATTAGAATGGAGGATTGAGATTTGGGAAGTTTAGGGAGCTTCCAGTTTCATATGCCAGTTTTTAATACTTTATGCTAAGATGTAGTATAGAGAAAGAGTAAAGGAGGGGGGGCTAACTCTTGCCTACCTTCCAAGAAGCTTTTTAGAATTTTATTTGATTTTGCTAAATGAATTTTGTTAAGATTCTAACTACAATATCTTATGGAAATGTAGCTTATGCTTTGCTTATGCAACAAACTGAATATCTCTAAATACTTTATATGTCTAATAAAAAATTATTCTTAAAATCCTAAGTTTGGTCTCTTGAACAGCAAATCTGCTGAGCCTGCTTCCAGAAAAATAATTAGGCCACATAATGCTGCAGAGTCCTTTTTGCCTGAGCTTTGTTGGTCCTGGCTGACTCCAAAGCTCATGATTTTATCTTTTATTTTTCTTTCTTAATTACTTAAAAGAACAGACTTGCGGAAGGGAGTTTGTGTATGTCCTGGCTGGGTCATTCGGACTCTGCTCAGCTAATTAGGAGTGCACATACACCTGGGCCCTCTCTGTTCGAGTAGCAAGTGATCCTTTAGGGGACCTTGTTGCTGACATCTTGCCGGCATCTCTTATATCCTGGAGTCAGGCTGGCATCTTTTGGGAAGGACTCCCCAAGGGCAATCCTTTTCTTGAAGTTGTCCTCCATTTTATGTATTGCCCAGTCCAAGAATGATTTAAAGGTAAAGAATCACAAGGAGGGAGATAAGGAACCTTGAAATCATCTATCTGCAATTAACGTCTGTAGAACATAAGCATCAGGTTGAAATAAGATGTATTGTTACTGTGTTTAAGACAGAAGAATAATTTCCTGTTTTGTAACTGAGGTTCCCTTCCTCGGTATTTGCTCACCGATTCTCTTGATCTGATTTAGTTACTTTGCTCTAGCAAAGTGAGTAGTGATGATGATGGGTAAAAGGTGAGAACACACTGGGACATCTTGCTCATACCAACCCCACAGCATCTAGAGCCAGCAATGCTTGAAAAACGATGCTCCAAATGGTAAGATACCACCGGTATTTTCAAGAACAACTCTAGTGGTTTAGGTGTCTGACTGCAGAGCCAGCGTTTGGGAATTCAGTTCTCCACTGTACTTCCTAGATAGGGGCTCAACTCAGTGATTCATAGGGGCCCCACCAGCTCTGAAGTTCTGAGATGATCATGATGATGATGACAATAGCAATCTTGTATACAGAGCTGCTGAAGTAAAGTGAGCAATATATGGTGTATTCAAAACTGGTGGTGGTGAGATCCAGTTACAGTTTTGTGTGTATGTGGTATCTGTTCATATGAACACATTCTTTTGTGTGTGTGTGTGTTTTGAGGGGGCCCTGTCTAAAATCCTTTTTCCTACACCTCAATATCAAAGGCTCGTTAGCTAAACTGTGTGTGTGTGTGTGTGTTTTGAGGGAACCCTGTCTAAAATCCTTTTTCCTAAACCTCAATATCAAAGGCTCGTTAGCTAAATAAAAAAGAAAAAAACAAATATTTTGTCTAACACAAACTGGTCCTCTGGTGAGAAAATTAATCTATAACAGGGTAAAATTTCAATTATAAGTAACCCCGCTAATAAATCCTTCCCCTCTTTGTGGCAAAGGAATTATTTGCAGTAGGCTCTAACACACTCAAAGGCCTGTGCAGCCATTGCTTTGCTTGTAACACAAGCTATCACATTAGCACCACATTCCTTCAGTTTTGTGAAGCATTTCACTGCAGACTTAGTACTCATTTGATCTGATTAGTTCTCGGCTCTTACAGGGAGATGGTTTCCTATTTTTCTGAAAGCAGTGTTAAGTTGGCCACAAAAAGCCAAACCCTTGTTTTCTTTAGCGCTGTTGTAGGCCTTGATTTCTGCCGTACAGCTGCTGAAGGTAAAAGCCCGGCCTGTTCTTATCTCTCTCCTACATATCAACAGAAGATATCATATGGTGCAGCCAAGTTCTCAGTAGATTCTTTCATCTTTCCTTTCTTAGACTCAGGATTCCCTTATGCTCAGAATTTAAGGAGGCAACCACCGAGAGCTGCACTTATACCATAAAGGCACAATACAGTTACAAATGCACACCACGTGCAAATGGGTGGGAGGTAGGAAATAAAAACAAGGTTTGAGCTGATTCCCATCCATCTCCTTCCTTTGCAAGTCTTCAAGGGCATTCATCCTTCAGTGCTCTAGTCCCACAATGACAGGCGGGGAGGTCATATCTTTATTAGATGGGAGAAGGGGGCACTAGCTGTTGACCTGTACCCACCTTCATCAGGTTGGGCACCCCTGGGCATGGAGGGTGCAGAAGAAAACAAACAAACATACAAATGTTCTGGCTAGATGTCCATGTCAGATGTCCAAGCAAATTTCCAAATGGGGCTGCCGGCTCAGGTCAGGCGTAAAGATGGGAACAAACCGCTGGTTCGGCTATTCAGCACATTTCATTTCCCAGCCAAACAGCTGATACTCGGCTCAGCTCCCTGCCCCCTCCAGCAGCCGCCCACTCGGATGCAGCACTCCACCCTGCCTCTTCTGGGTGCTACCTCTGGGTGGGCTCCTGGTGGAGGGAGGCGGGGTGCTGAACTGCGTATCAGCTGTTTGGCTGTTCAGATGGGAAACAAACTGTGATAAATCACTGAACCAGTGATTTGTGCCCATCTCTAGTCAGGAGTGTAGGTTTCAAATGACACTTCCGTTGGCATTGGATGAAATGTTCCTACATTCTTTAAACAGAGGGCTTCAAGCCATACACCAACCCTGTTGCCTTACCTTATTTTTGACTGAAGATTGGGGCTATACAGATATGTAGCAGATACCTTATTGGGGGTGCTGATAAAATTTAAACAACATACTAGGTCAGTAGCTTCCAAACAGTGAGCCGTGGCTCCATGGGGTGCCAGGAAGCCAACCAAGGAGTGCCACAGAATTCTCTAATCCTTCTTCCCTCCCTTGCCTCCCCAAACTATCCTATAGCATTTACTTGCAATGTCTCTAGTGTCTGTGCATGGTGCAGAGAGGGATCCCTGACTTCAGTCTTGCCAAAGGATTGGGTTTCCTGCCCTATGGTTCACAAAGGACCTTTCCCTGCCCTGTCCCTGCAAAAAATAAAAAATTAAAAAAAATTGGTTTCTCCATTTTTCCAGTAGCTTCCCTTGAAGAAGTCAAGCCACAAGTGTGTTTTCACTAAGCCACCTGTATCTTGCAGTCTCTGGTTCCGCCTAGTAGCCAGTCCTGGTAATACACCTCAGGAAGATGTATTTATGTGTTTATTTTATTTTATTTTTTCAGGCAGTGGATATCTGAAACTGCGGGTAGTGATGCCATGGATATGGCAGTCCTACTGTATTGGGGAGCCACAGCCAGTGGCTAGTTGTGGCCAGTAAGTCAAGGGAGCCACAAGTTTATGAACCACTGCACTACGTGACCCGAATCCAGCCAAACTAACAGTAGGGCCCATTTATTTGGGGAACATGTTCCTCAGTTTGCAGTCCTGCTTAGGCAACAGTAGTGCTCGTACTTAAGATGATGCCCTGGTAGACTATTTGGGGTATCTTTCATAGTTCAACAATAAGAAAAGAAAATATCAAATGAATAGGATACTGTGATACCGCAAAAAGCTCTGGATCAGCCTAGCAGTTCCATAAGATTCCAGTCCATCTCTCCATCCACAGAGCTGCATTATCTCTTCTGTTTGAAAAAGCACCTGTGATGCTTGAACAATTTGCATTTGAATTTTCATTGCTATAGCAGAGTTCTGAAATAACTTTTTTTAAGTGTATGAACAGTAATTCCATACATTACCAATTGCATTTCATATTAGTTTTTCATTACTTTTTTGAGGGGAGAAGGAGTTGAGATTTATA